CCTATCATGTGATTAAGTATATGCACTGTGAAAACATGCTAGATATCCTATTAGGGCTTCACACCGATATTGTTGAGACTCGAGAGGTCATTTCTTGCTGTCATATCATTAGCTTCATTGATATTCTGTACTCAGTCATGCTCATGCATATTATATCATGTCTTAGTCTTAGTTATATTATTTGGCACATCATATCATTGTTTCAGGCTAGTTTCATGACATTATGGGCCCGTGAGTGTAAGACTGGAGAGTGATGATTGAGTGAGGCCGAGAGCCTGATTATGAGTGATAGTTAGGGATCGGGATGCATGCCGCAACGGTTATGTTGATGATTAGGATATCGCTTGGGCTATAAGAGCCCCTCCGGAGTCTGTAACACACCCCCAATGAGCACAGTTGGTGATATTGAGGGATGTATCTTCCCTGGACATGGATCTTGTCCAAAGTATTTATACCTGGAGATGGATCTTCTCCATAGGGCTAGAATGGCCTTCCTCGGTACTAGATGACTCCAGTTAGTGACGTATATATTCCGGGATGGATCTTCCCTAGGCCGGATGGCCATATATAGTACCGAGTAATTGAGCACTTGTGAGTGGAGGTATATGGAACATTGATCATGCTAGCTGTGCATTGGTACGTATAGAGTTCCTGTATTTTATACTCCGTACTGTTCAGACTGCATTTATTTATTGTTGAGTTTTTACTTGAACTGCAAGCATGCCTACTTTTCTGTACAGTTAATGATATTACCTGTTGAGGTTTGGTTCGTCACTACCTATCAGTCCATAGTTTGGACTTGTTACTTACTGAGTTGGTGTACTCACGTTAAAACCCCTTGCACATTGTGTGCAGATCCAGGTATCTCGGGTCATGGTAGCAGTTGCTGATCATTTCAGTGGTGGACTTTCCTTGGAGATAACGAGGTAGCTACGTGGTGATCGCAGACCCGCCTCTCCTTCCTTATCTTCCTCTTAGTATATTTGTTGGATATTCTCAGACTATGTTAGTCTTGTTTATTTCAAACAACTGTAGTTTTTTGCTCATGACTTAGTGACACCCGAGGTCGGGCTTGTACTTTCCGCTTGTTTTGATTTCTACTTTTACCTTTTATCGAAATTCTATTAAAAATATGATTTTTCTTAAGTTCTAAATGAAATATGGAGTATTTGGATTTATAAGTTGGCTGGCCTAGTTTCATGATAGGCGCCATCACGAACGGATCGGCTTTTGGGTCGTGACATGTAAGTATCAAAGCCTAGGTTACATAGGTCTCACGAGCCATGAGCAGGTTTAGTAGAGTTTCGCGGATTGGTACGGACGCGTCTGTACTTATCCTTGGGAGGTTGCAGAACCTTTAGGAAAAACTTCATATTCTTGAATTCTTGTCGTGCGAATCTATTGATTATGGTACTAAACTTCTGTTATTCTATTTTCTCACAGATGGTGAGGACACATGCTACCGGTCAGGACGGACGGCCACCAATACCACCAGTTGGGGCCACTAGAGGTCGAGGTCGAGGCTGTGGTAGGGGCAGGGGTGTAGCCCGTACAACAGCTAGGGAAGCACCTGCAGATCCACTAGCTGCCCCAATTTATGATCAGGCTCCAGCGGGGGATGCTCCAGTAGCACCAGCTCAGGTACCGTCTGTGCCTATTGTTATTTCGGGTCTCCAGTAAACCTTGGCTTAGATTCTGACCGTGTGCACCAGTATTGCTCAGGCGATCACAGTTACTACCACAACAACTACTTCTCAAGCTTGGGGAGACACTCATACTCCCACCGCCCGTACGCCCGAGTAGGTTGTTCAGGGACTGCAGACATCGGAGGCACCACCAGCCCAGCCGATTGCACCTGCTCAGGATTATGTGGTCCCAATTATGCCTGATGACGAGCAGTGTCGATTGGAGAGGTTTAGTAGACTTCAGCCTCCGACTTTCAGTGGTGTAGAGGGCGAGGATGCCCAGGGTTTCTTGGACAAGTGTTAGAGGATGTTACGACAGCGGGTATTCTGGAGACTAGTGAGGTCTCATTTACTACTTTTTAGTTTTTTGGGGCCGCCTTTACTTGGTGGGAGGCTCATGAGAGGCATAGTCCTGTGGTGAAGAACCCTTTACTTGGCAGTAGTTCTCCGCTCTCTTCTTAGAGAAGTATGTGCTACAGTCCCGCAGAGAGGAATTGTGCAGACAAATCGAGTAGTAGCGTCAGGATGATATGACTGTGATGCAGTATGAAATGAGGTTCTCTGAGTTAGCCCGTCATGTTGTTTGGTTGGTTCCTACAGACAGAGAGAGGATCAGGAGATTCGTGGATGGCCTCTCTTACTAGTTACAAATTCTTATGACCAGAGAGAGGGTGTCTGGATGTTCATTCTAGCTTATTTCTTTTGAAAATGTCCAGAATGAAAAAAAGAACCAACATAAGAAAAGAAAATCATGAGAAATCTAGCCTAAACAGTTAAGAATCCAAATTAAACTAAACAGGTAGATAATATAATTAATTTAAACAAAATAAAAGAAAAATTAGAAACAAAACCAAACAAAGAAAGTAAAGAGGAGGTTACTGGTTTTTAACCGGGATGAACATGACGCCTAAATCAGGTCAAAGAAGGGTGAGGACGAACTTTGCTGGGCATCAGTGACCTTGGTCGGAAGTCGGCGACCCTCGAAACAAGCCAAGACTAGCGTTAGTCAATTGTTCTTAACAAGAACGATTGCTTAACGCAAGTCTCGAATTAAATCGAGCCCTAGGAGGCAAGGAATTGGAATTAGGGCGGATTTAGGGTTTTCTTTAAAGTCTCAGATCTGGATTTAAAGAAAATAGGTGGGGATTTTGGGGAAACTAATGGTGGATTTAGAAAGAGGAGAGGACGGGGGTTGCATAGTACTAATTTGGGAAAGTTTGGAGCGTCGTTGCTGTCGTGGGACGATTTCCGGCGGCAGAATAAGGCGGAGATGGTGAGNGGGGCTACTTTGGATAGTCTTATAGTAAGTTGACCACCAGTTCACACCCGTTGGATCTGGAACGATCAACGACTGGGATTGAAACCTAGGGGAACGACGTTATTTAGTGTTAAAGGGACTGGACCAGGTAAGAGGGATTGGGCTGGGTCGGATCTGAGTCAAAATTAATTGGGCATAACATATTTGGCCCAAATTGAGTCCAAAACAAACCTTTTTTCCAAATTTCCTTTCTTCTTTTGTTTTCTTTTTCTTTCATTAATTAATTAAGATCCTAAATTAAATTTTAAATTAATCTAGTTTACAAAATTAAGCTAATTATGATATTTACAAAAATTAGTTGATCCTAAATTAAAGAAAAAAAATTACTCCCTCCGTTCCAATTTATGTGAACCTGTTTGACTGGGCACAGAGTTTAAGAAAAAAATGAAGACTTTTGGAATTTGTGATCCTAAACAAGTTCAAATGGGGCCCAGAGTATTTGTGTGGTTATAAAAGCTTCTCATTAAGGGTAAAGTTGTAACTTTAAGCTAAATTATTACCAAATTTAGAAAGGGTTCATTCTTTTTGGAACGGACCAAAAAGGAAATAGGTTCACATAAACTGGAACAGAGGGAGTACTAAATTAGCATTAAAGGCTAAAAAATGTATAATGAAAGATATTTTTTTTGTGATTTTTATTTTAATAAAGCAATTAATTAACTAATTAATCCTAAAATATAAACACGAAATCTAAATGCAATGCTTGATATTTTTGTCATTTTTTCATGATTTTAACATAATTAGACGTGCACAAAAATGCAAACAATTAATAAAAAAATTCTGCAAAATCCTATAAAATTGCAAATAATCTGGAAAAAATCTATTTTCTTTATTTTTATAGGAGTATTTCATATAGGGCAAAAATCACATGCTCACACTCGCCACTCGATCTGTGGCGACCCCAGCATGGCCAACGTCACTGTCTTAGCATGACAGTCCAAAATAGCACAACACGGAGATAACCAATCCATGCCCAATATCACATCGAAATCAACCATACTAAGCAATAAGAGATCCACTCGGGTTTCCAAACCCCCAATAGTCACCACATACGACCGATATACATAGTCCACAACAATAGTATCGCCCACCGGAGTAGATACATGAACAAATGAAACAAGAGAGTCGCGGGACGTATCCAGATAATGAGCAAAATATGATGACACATATGAAAAATGGAACCGGGATCAAATAATACAGAGGCATCTCTGTGGCAGATTGAGACAATACTGTAATCACAACTAGGGGTGGGCGTTCGGTATTTCGGTATTCGGTTTATCAATTGTGTATACCAAATACCATACCAAATATTTTGGTACGGTTCGGTATTTCTTATTTTGGTTCGGTACGGTTTCAGTTTAACAATCAATGAATAATCAATGCTAACAGTGCACATGTACAATTGAAACTTTCACTCTGAAAGAATCTGTTCCGATATATAACAGTGCACATGTACAATTGAATAAGTGAAAAGCAAAAGCTGAACAAGTTCTTTACAATCTGCACGCCAGTATATCATATTATACAATCTGCACGCCAGTATACAAGTGAAAAGCAAAAGTTGGCCAACTGCACATTACACAAGTATATTAAACAACTTAAACACAATGCAATCAACTGGCCAACTGCACATTACACAACTTAACACAGTGCACAATTGAATCTGTACACAACTACACAACACATTACACAACTTAACACTTAACACAGTACACAATTGAATCTGTACACAACTACACATTACACAACTTAACACTTAACACTTAAATACAGTGCAGTAAAAACACAGTGCAACAAAAACAGTCTTAACACTTAAACACAATGCAACTGGCCAACTGCAATAGTCTTAACAGTCTTAACACTTAAACATAGTGCAACAAAAACAGAGAGGGCATCCCTCAACAAACAGTCTTAATTCTTAAATATGAATTCTAGGAAGACGCGCAAGACAACGCTTAATATGCTTCCTTAAACCAATTGTTCCATTCCCTTTTGGATTAACATTATAGACTTGACCACAATGTTTGCACTCTACTTTGCGAACTTCTCCGTTATCTTCTTTCACCACAAAGTATTCCCAAATATCGGAGCGTTGAGCAGGAGCACGGGGCATGATTGCACTTGAACCTAAAAAAAAATATAAACCATAAGTTATAATATTATATTTTGATTATAATAAAACAAACTACAAAATATTAAGTATATCATTATCACCAAACAAATAGAGTATTAAACTTACCACTCAAGATGCAAGTTGCAACTATACATCAAACAATGCTAGTAGTGCTTCCATTATTTTCCATATCTAAAGATAATACGACCAAATATGTCATACAAATGAAAAAGCATGATATATTATTTTGAATTAAAATACACACAAAATATTAAAGCTTACCAAGCTCGAGTTCCTCAAGATACTTCAAGTCTTCTTCAACACTAATAGGATTCTTCTCTTCTCTAAGCCAATCTTGAATACAAATAAGAGCTTGCACATATTTAGGAGTCAATGAACTCCTAAATGAATCAAGAATACGGCCACCAGTGCTAAACGCGCATTCCGACGCCACACTAGAAATTGGAATTGCCAACACATCACGAGCCAACTCCGAAAGAATAGGAAATCTAGGAGCATGTGTTTTCCACCAACTCAAGATATCAAATTCTTCACTAAAAGGCTCTTGTTCTTCACTAATGTATTTATCCAACTCCGATTTAGCACCCCCACTTCCATTGTCTTCCTTTTGTTTCTTCTAGCTAAGCTTAGTCCTTATTTTTGATGCACTTATAACACTCCCACTAGGTATATTAGATGTGTTGTTAGATGAAGTAGAACTAGATGGAGATTGAGGACAAGATTCGATTGAATACTTTTTTAGATAATCTCCAAACAAAGAATTCATATAAGCATATACCTCAGCATTTATTTTCTTCCCTTTTTCCTCCCCAAAAAGTTCTTCAAGTGCTCCCTCAACATATTCAAATTTGTTACGTGGATCCAAGACGAAAGCAATAAAAATCATTTTATTCATCTTTTCAGGCTCACCCCAATACTTCTTGAACTTTTCTTGCATTTTCTCAGTCATTTTTCTCAAATGCTCATCCTCACTGGCTAAACACATTTTCAAATGACAATAAAGTTCAGATACATCCTCAAAATGAGAATTACAAGTGACATAACGTGAACATGAAACTTTTTTAGTTAGCTCGTGAAATCTTGCAAGAAACTCTATCACATTCCTCACATTCACCCAATCATCAGATTCAAGAGGACCTGCATTACCACCATCTTCACAAAGATGAGAACATTGATAAGTAGAAAATCCATCATAAAAAAGATGCAACTTGTCAAAGGCTTTTTCAAAGTGTTGTGCTGTATCCAACATCAAATAGGTGGAATTCCACCTGGTAGGAACATCCAAACACAACGTTTTGGTACATTCTACCTTTACATGTGCACAACACTGTTTAAACTTTAAGGTCCTTGCAGGCGAAGATCTCACATACCTCACAATATTTCTAACACGTGTCACAGAAGCATCAAGTTCTTTCAAACCATCTTGCACAATTAGATTTAGTATATGAGACATGCATCTCACATGAAGATGTTTACCGCTCATCATATTAGTTTTCCACATATCTAACTGGTTAGACAATTCTTTGACAGTGACACCATTTGAAGAAGCATTGTCCACGATAATAGTGAAAACCTTGTCTAATTTCCATTCAAGCAAACAATCCCTAATAGCTTTAGCCATCTCTTCACCCTTATGACTAGTGATAGGGCAAAAATTTAGTATTTTTGTATGCAACTTCCAATCCCTATCAATGAAGTGGGCTGTCAAACACATATAATTTATTCTTTGTAATGAAGTCCAAGTGTCTATTGTTAGGAAAATTTTTGGTTGTGCTTCTCTAAAAGAACTTCTTAGATTTTGCCTCAATTCACCGTAAACTTCCTAACAATTCCTTGTTATTGTTCTACGAGAAGGAAGACGAAATAGTGGTTGAGTTTTTCTCATAAACTTCATAAAGCCTTCATTTTCTACAAAGCTAAATGGTAGTTCATCAATAACTATCATCTCAATTAAGGCTCTTCTAACCACTTTTTGATCAAATTTCCAAATTGATCCTTCATCATTTTGGCAAGATTGAAAATTTATCTTTGTTTGACTATTATCTTTAGCAATGTTAAGTGGGTATTCTTTGCATCTAAGCAAATGATTCTTCAATCCTGTTGTTCCATTCTTAGATGAATTAGCAACATAAGCTTGTTTACAATATCGACACCGTGCTTTCCCAACGCCATTAACCTCAAATTTATCAAAATGGTTCCAAACGTCAGACCTAGGTTGCATGGCTTTCCTTTTCTTGGAATCTTGAGTATCAATGGTGTTGGTGTTACTATCTACCGTAATAGGTAAACTTTCACTAGAACCAACATCACTTACTTTACTTGTATCTTCCATCTATACAAAATCAAACAAATATAAACATAAATTAACAATCAACAAATTAACTACTTTGCTATCAGTAATGCTGAGAGAATGTAAATATGAGAGTGCACTTTTAGATTTTAGTTATTTCAAACTAGCTATAAGTAGCTTCAACTACCATGTTTCTGCTTCTCCCTAAAGGCTACAAGTGCTACCAAAGTTTCTAAAATAATGAACCCCATAAAGTCTTGAACCGTTGAACGTGCAAGTCAATTAGAGCTCATATTCTAACTATAAGGTAAAGAAAAGATTAGGATTTTTCTTCAAAACACCAAGGAAGGAAGGATCTTTATTCTTTCCATTTTTGCTAGCAACTTTCTTTAAAATATTTGAAACACGATTTCAGAACACACACACTCTCTATTTTTTGGGTTTTTACTCTTTCGGCATACTGATAAGAACTGGCATATTCAATGTCAATGGAGTTACCAAGTATACCTTGCACTGATCGATAAGTTAGATTTTGTACTTCTTTTGCCACATATAGAAAAATACATTAATTTCAGAAAGAAAAATGAATAACAAAATAAGGGATCCTCTTCACCTCTAACTCATCTGCTAAAGCAAGTCAACAACCAAAAAAAAAGCAAGTAGACACATACCTTCGAAAATTGAAACTATCACAAGTTCGCAACAGTAGCATCTTCGTTTGCCCGAAATTTTTGAGGAGTGAGGATTGAGGACTGAGGAATCGAATCGAGCTCGGAAATCGCCTAATGCCCTAATCTCCTACTCAGTCAACTGTATCTGACTTTCAATACCTAATGAATTAGCCCTAATCTTTATAGAGTGGGATGGGGCAATGGGCTGGGGCACTGGGAAGTTGGAAATTGGAATTATAAAAGTATTAAAGTGGGCAGGGGCGATGGGCTGGGCTAAGGTTAGGCAGTGGACTGGGGCAATCCGCAATAAGAAAATGTATTTTAAAAAATCGGTATTTCTTTATTTTGGTATACCGGAATTTCAAATTTCTAATACCGATGATCGTACCGAAATACCGAAATACCGAAATTGCAATACCGAATTAGACCAAAATACCGAAAAAACCGAAACCGAAATACCGATTTAATTCGGTTCAGTTCGGAATTCGGGTTTTCCGATTTTATGCCCACCCATTATCACAACATCTAAAGCAATAGCATGTAGTCTGGCTGGGAGGGCATAGAAATGGGTCTGACCACCACCTGATCGACCAACGGATTAGTTCATTCTAGTTTATTTTTTTAAAAATATGTCCAGATGTTCAAAATTCAGTCACATTGTCTAGTTTTGTTATTTGATTTGCATTGACTTGTCCGTTTGTATTTGCCCTAATTTGTAAGTCATTAGAAACTTGTAGGTTTAACTGAACAATAAAAGAAACTTAAGGGGTTTATTTGAAGGGTGGGTAAGTATGGAATAAGATAAAACCATATAGGAAGGTTCTAGAATATGGGCAGCTGGCTCTATTTGGCCAGCACAAAAATGCTGAAACCAATTAGAGGCTGTCAGTTGTCCCATTTCTGTTAGGAAGATGCTTTTAGGGGCTGCGTGAGGGAATAATTCCCGATTTTTTCTGTTTCTCAGCACATGGTATTTTCAGTGGCTTATATATAGAACCCTTCCCTCACTCATTAGACAGATTTGGAACCCTAGAAAAGACTAAAAAGTTCTGCATTGTTTGAGTGAGAGCTGAGTTTTTTTCCTGATTTTCTTTAGCAAAGATTATAAAAACATTCCCTAGATTTCTGGTTTTCTGGGCTTGGATATGGATTAAATTGAAGCTGCTATTGATGTTGACTAACTGCTGATCCTTACTCATTCTTAGCTTGAAGTTCGTATTTCATTCTCTTTTGCTGTATCCAGGTATGTTCATGAGCTTGAAGTGATAAAAAATGGGATTGTAGCATGTTGATTTGGAATTTGACTCCCGATTTATACTTAGCTAAATGTTTTTCTATTGTTCTTCTTCATTTGAATCTGTAACTTCTTTTAGTCCTGCTTAAGTACTATCGATACTGATGCTAATGTATTTAGATGGTTTAGACATTCAAACTATTTTAATTCATCCATGTTGGTTTAACGATTTACTATATTTAGTAGTTGTAATTATTTGGGACTTTGTTAAAGGTTATTGAATGTATATTTATGTGTTTGAATTGTTGAGCATAATGGCGTGTGTAGATCTAAATTAGTCCATGAATGAGTTCAGGAGTCGATCTCTTGTTGATTGATATTAATAGCATGTTTAAACAAATTAATTCATAATAGTTGACTAATACTCTACATTTTTAGTAATTGGATAATTGATTTCTATGCCCAAAAAATGAAATCAGGACAAATCAAGGCCTGGATATCAAAGGTCCTTTGTTTAGTATAACTAGGCCTGGTGTTTGGCCCAGACGAAGTAGCTGGTTTTTGAACTAAGCTCCATATGAATGACTTCTGTTTTCTTTCACTTTCTGGGCTCAATTTTGGCCCAAGTATTTTCAGCGCATTTCTTCTTAAAATTTCTGTTGATATAATAAATGTTTTTGCAACATTGAAAGCATGCCTTTAAAGGTTGGTCCTAGTACTGGCCCAATGGAACTCGCCGGACTTATCTAGTCCCTTTTGTCCTCACTCTTGGGCTCCACTTCGAGCCCAGTGCCTGCCAGCCGTTGTTCTTCTCTTAAAGACTTATGTATATAACAAATTAGGCCTACTGCTGGCCCACTTCTTCTCAAAACAATTAAAAGCCTAATATATTATACAATGCATATTCACAATCAGTAGCTATACATTAAATTCCAAACTTAGTTTTAAATATGAATACCCGTGGTTCGCTTTAATTTGAGTACAAATTCTTTATATAAGTTGAGGTGTGTCACTAAATCGCATAGTCGACGACCCTCACATCAATATCTTAACTAATGTAGAAATATGCTTTGAAATCTCGTAGTTTGCTTTAGGCGCGTTAATTAAATAAATTATCATGGCTACGGGTACGGTTCCCGTGATGTAGTTGTGATACTTAATTTTCAAATTCGGGGGTACATTTATGTGACCCGGCCATAACTACTAATAATGACAATAATTGAAACATGTTGTGTGTCGTGGGTACGGTTCCCGTGACACGATCCGCAATGTGTACCAAACAAACAAGTGAACGACAATCGTAACTTGTTCCAGAATAATTCCATAAATAATTAAAAGCGGTCAAAAGCTAAGAATGCACGTAGGTTTTAAATGTTTAATTAATCAGATAATTAGGCCTATAATAATAGTTGATGGACCGTTCTAAAACTACGGAACCCG